ATTTCCGAGCTCAAAACTCTCATTTATATAAAAAAATATAATTTTATTACAACCGAGCTCATTTCTATCATTTTAAAGCCAATTAAGTACACCGAGCTCAAATATCTCTTTTTTCCGAGCTCATTTAATTTCGTGTCCGTATAGTCGACGATAGTTGATTCATTCAATCCTTTCGTGTCGTTTTTCTGCTGTTGATCGACTTTTAGGAAGAAAAGACATCTTCGCCACTCAGTTTCAAATGGTAGTGTGAAGCGCATATTTTCGTCATGTTTATGATCAAGACTAACTGTCTATGAGCTTAAAAAGCTTTTTAATTTAATTTCTTTTTTCTAAAACAGAATTCAGTAGAACGGAACGTTATGTTTACAATTCCTGTATATAAGTAATTTTTCTCTCTTGAGAGAACCTTCGCCAGAAAACCGACCTAGGTATTGTGAGGCTGTCCGGGGGAAAATTCTATTTTATTTATAACTCATTAGAAAGAGCATACAAAATAACCACTAATCCTGCAATAATTCTTTTCGAAAGCGTATTTTTAAAAAACTAGAGGTCAACCACTCTATTGGGGATCAGTCCTATTATCAGAAAATGTGAATTTTCACAGGTTTTCGTATTTTCCGATTTTCTGAAAAACTATCAAACTCCTGTGATTCGTGCACGACGCATTTGAAAGAAGAACGTTTACTCTATAAGATCATGTATTTAGACATAATAATATATTTAACTATCGGATAAGGATTTTTTAGAGAACGGAATTAGGACTAAAAAGAGAACGGTTGCCTATTTATAGTCAAATTTGGAGTGATTAGAGAATGGTTAGAATTATAAAACGAAAAAACCGAAAAGAGAACGGAATTAGTGCTGAGTTGAGAACGGTTCAGAATTCTGAGTTCAAAAGACTGAAAAGAGAATGGTCACATATTCGAATGGCGCATTATTATCTATATACATTACCTGCAAAAAAATATTGTACAAAAAATGCAGATATATATGATATTTCAAAAAAGTAGAGCAAGACTAGATTTGGTTGGTCTACCACATTTTTTTGGCTCTAAAGGCATATGATCTTTGAGATTACATGATAGCCAAAAGCAATTACAAGTCCACCTGTATGTTTACAAACGTAATCTTTGCAAAAGAATCTGCACGAACAAAAGTTTTGTTGAACCGAAACTATGTGAGCAGATTCATACTATATCTTAAAATGATTGAATGATGAAAATGCATTGCTATCAAAACAATTAATCCACTCTTAGATACTCACTATTAACAGATGTGATGGCGTTTCGAAAATATTCCACGAAATTAGAGTTGCATATTTGATAACATCTTGAGACCATTTTAGTGTATATTTGTTACCATTGGTACTTGATTCACTGCGAAATCTAGATACTTTATTTTCTGGTATTAATTCATTAAGTTCAGTTGGTAGCCAGTGTCTGCGCATCATTTTGTTTAGAATATGGTTCTTTTACTGTTTGCATATCGATGTGTAAATATGAAGAAGCGTGCGTATGAGAAATTCTTCAGAACTGTACACATACAGTGAAAAAATAATTTCAAATGGCGTTCTCTTTTCAGTCTTCTGCAAAATAATTCGAAAACCGTTCTCGTTTCAGTCCCGTTCTCTAAACGGTGTAAAAATTTAACAATTCGCACTCCGTTCTCCATTCAGTTCAAACTCCGTTCTCTTGTCATACTTTTTCCTTAAATATCTAGGACTAACAATTAACAAGTAAAAAACTACATATTTTTAAAACTGCATTTGTCTCAGTACTTTTTAAATATAGGCCATGCATATGGCAGTCCTAAAATAAATTCTACTTCATTTTTTAGAGCGGGCAATTCTGCATCGATTCATATGTCATAGAACATTTTAAAACACTAGGATGATGTATTTAAACTAGTATACTAACCGTGCGCTGCGACGGCTAATTTGGTTAGTTATAGTAAATATTCTTTCTTGTCCTGTGGGGGGGGGGGGGGCCGGCGGGGGGGGGGGGGGGGGGGGGGGGGGGGGGGGGGGGGGGGGGGGGGGGGGGGGGGGGGGGGGGGGGGGGGGGGGGGGGGGGGGGGGGGGGGGGGGGGGGGGGGGGGGGNACAAGTTAAACACCCCGGCGCGGCGCCGGGTAATTTGGTTTTTTTAATTAAATATTTTTTTTTGGCCTGGGCCCCCCCCCCCCCCCCTATTCCCTATTGACCTAACGAAGATTTGACAAAGAAATGATTCAATGGCGGATCAGTCTGATTAAGAATCCGTTTACAGATCTTCGCTAGGTACTCCAGAAGCTGAGACCATCAGACTCATAGCTCAAGCGCCACTCAAACCTCAAACTTTTTAATAATAAGGATATGGGAAATAAGCATAGGTATTATCATTTTCTTAGTTTTCTAGATTTTGATACAAATCTCAAAGGTCTGGACATACAAAGCGTTTCTGAGTCATTACAGATGTAGAGGAAACATTTTTCTGTAAAATGGGGCGTCTGCGAGCTCTTTGCGGTGGCTTTTATAATTCTACGCGCGTTTTACGACAAGCATTGTATTTGAGGCCCGTCTCCTACTGGCTTTTATCTCAGTTTTGATCCATTGATCAAATGCAATAATTTACATATCATTAAATAGAAACTCGAAAGTTACATCTAATGACACGCTTTCTTATCTTCATCAGTTCAGATTAATAGTAGAGAAAAAAAATTTTAATTTTAAAAATTGCACATGACTCATGTCAAAACTCGATAAAAATGATTTTCTCCTAACCGTCTAAAAATCTTATATAAATCCACTCGTGCTGCCTTTCACCAGCTTGTCAGATTTTCTTTTTAAAAAGACCTATTTACTGAGGCAAAAGCCAGTAGGAGATTCAAAGATAATCCAAATTTTGAATTATAATTTGGGGTCATATTCATGCAATGCTGCGGCAATAGATAAAAAACCCAAATAGTCTTTGCAGCCGTTCATAACTTATCCTTCAACTAATTACTGCTTTGCTTTAACTTATAGCAAAGAAATAATAAGTTGAAGGATAAATTAAGGTTAAAAGTTTCATTTCGAGTCGAAACGAAACTCTTATATATAATATAGCAGTAAAAATTGGATAGGTTTTTTCTGATTTAGTTGAAAACTTAAACGTGTATTTAAAATTTCTTTTTCTGAAAGATATAAATAAGCATGCGAGAGAAGACAAAAACAATATGCATTACACAAAAAGCAATAATGAAAATGAAACAAACAAAAAAGTTTGTTATAAGAAACAAAAATGATCAAAGTTTGTACTTTCTCTCCAAGAAAACAAAAATCTATTCAAATTTTTCTAATTCGTTCGACAGGCAGTTGTTCTGTCATTTAAGATGACGGTCATGATTGACAACTATATTCTGTTGTTGCCGTTGTATAATTTTTAAAATAATTCATATAATATTGATATATGTCTGGCGAAGCATAATGCTCAACAAATGTATAGTTTTGTTGCACATAATTGTTTTTAGTACCACAGTCCATTAATGATTTAAATGCATTTAAAGATTTTATATTCGTATAATTACCAATAATCCCAACGCCTTAAAATTAACAAAAAACACAATATAAAGTGTTAAGCACACAAAATGGAATATTTCTTAATAAACAGCTTAGAGAATATTCTCTTTGTTTTATACATACCTAATGATCGACTATTGTAAGTTTTACAATATGCCCCAATATAATTCCATCCTCTACCTATGTAAATTAATTGTTGACTGCTATTATCCGTAGCATACCCACCACAAATGATAAAATTATACGAAATATCATCATAATTATTTGTGTTCATATTGTATGTTTGAAATGCTTTTACATATCGAATACAATCTTGTTGTGTCATACTTCTATTATAACTAAGTAATGTCTGAACGGCAATATATAAAACCGGTAATTCTAAAATAAAACGAGTTTTAGCTGTTGTTGCATTCCAGACACTTCGACTTAAAATATTTGAACAACCTATAAATATAGAATATCATCAGAACGACACATTTCATCGGAAAAAAGATCAGCACTTTATTTTTCAAAATTGCCGTTGAATTTTACTTTTTGGTGAAAGATAATCATCATCGTTGCTTTGTGACGGACCTTTTTTAATTACCAATATAAATACTAACGTCAGAGTTAAAGCCAAAACAATAATCGATAATAAAATTCCAATAAGAACATAAAGACGTTTTCGTCTCTGAGACTTTTTGTATTCTTTGACGTTTATGTCACTAACCAAGGAACTGAATGACGAGTCGTCATCTGGAAAAAGAAACGGACAGTGTCACAGAGATGAATATCAATGGTAGTACAACTCTGACTGGTTTCTAATATCATCCGCAAGGAATGAAAAAAACTTGACTTGATTTTTCATGCTTTTTCAGATCATTGAAATTCAAACACATTCCTTGCAAAAACCGAACAAAATGTTTTTAGCAAGACTACAAAGAAAAAATCTCTTTAGCCTAGACTACCTGTATTATATTTTCATGGGCTAGAAAATGGACGAGTTTAGAGAATTAACTAGTTTATGTGCATCTGAGCCATTTCCACACAGAGTGCAGGTACCATACCAGCCAATAACGGTGATTGAATCTTTCAACTTTTACTCATCAGCTTGCTTCGAAATCAGAGATGGAACTAATTGACGTTTGCCTAATTATACTAGGTCCTGCCGGATCAATTTTTCAATCAACAGTTAAAAATTTGTTAAAAATTTGTATGTAAAATTTGTAAAATTTGGTATGTATGAATTTTGATATTTTTTCCACTAAAAGTCATGTCCCTCCCAATGGGGTTTTCTCGAAAATTAGCCATGAAAACACAGCAAAATTTTTCTAATTTTAATTTTTTAAAAACTCCAATCCAGCTGTTCGATAGAGCACCAAAAATTGTCTAAGAGAAAACATTTTAAATATTCCGACTTACGAAATAGCTGAGCTAGAATGTTTGGAAAATCCTATGAGAAAATGGAAAACCGCTTGTTTTTTGTATCGAGTAATAAATATGGAAAACTACATAGAATTTGTCCAGAACACCTCTGAAAAAACAAATATTTGAATTTCTTTTGTAAAGATCAGCAACGTACAGTAAGTAATCTTCTTTCAAATGAGACGTCTCCCAATTTCCCTCTATGTTCATTCACGGAGATATTCATTTTGACTAATTGGAGATGTTCCTCGTCTATTCAGAAACGGCCAAACCTTGGAGACATCTCATTAGAGGATTATTTACTGTACGTTGCTGATCTTTACAAAAAGAAATTGAAGCATCTGTTTTTCTAGAGGTTTTTTGGACAATCGATTTTACGTGTCTTACAAAGCTTGAGCATGCGAACTTTGAAACTTGGAACACTAGTAGTACTAGATGACATGCTTTTATAAAACTATTTGAAAGAATTGTGACGGAGAATTTTGGAGAAAACCGTGCTCAAAGTTTGCGATTTTCAATATTTTGCAGCATCTTCCAGAACCTTTAAATTAAGTCTATGCTCCATAGTTTCTTGACTATTTGGTTAGCAATATAAAAAATGGTGGTTTTGAATTGATTTAGCTAAGATTTTTTGAGCGCACCCAGTTGGTTAGATTTAGAGTTGGAACCAGAAAATTTCCTTTTTATGCACAAGTCGTTAAGATCTATGGAATGATCAAATCAGAGATGTTTCAAAATAATTATTTCAGACAAAAAAGGCTGATCTCGTAGCGAATTTATGAGAATTAGGCCATCACCATGCCCGTGGTACATGACTTGTAGAGGAAACAAATATAGATTCGTACACAACTCGACACGGGCTATAAACCTGGCATAATGGAAATTTAGCGTCTCGAAGTCGATGTAAAACGTGGGAGGCTTGCGAAGATACACCAAGGTATCATAAGAATATTTTCAAATTCTTTTTGTACAGTTGTTACCTGGATCTTCACATTCTTCTAATTCAATTTCGATTGAAATTGGTGCTTGTGGATCATCAATATAATTTTTCTTGATGTTCACGACTTTAAATACAGCAAATGGCAGAATGAGAATTTCTTTTTCATGTGGTTTACTTGAAAGTTCTTGTATGTCTATGGCTGTTGCATTTTGTTTTATTTTATATTGGCATAAACATGAAAATTGAAGAGGACGTCCGTCAAATCTTTGTCTCATTTCAGATTGTTGCCCTTCACCAGCAAACATTTTGGCCACGTCAGGATCAATTGATGTAGATAAAAACGACCGATTTAATATATGTTGATCTAATTGATATGGATCTATATCATTTTCTGTTATTCTCATCCCACGATAACATGTGCCTTTGTACTGATATTTAGAAATATCTGGATGATGAATTAACAGTGTCACAATATGAACGAGACACTTAACTAGACGATAATTCGCAGAAAAATTTTTTGTCTGATCAAAATATTGTAGAATATATAATGCTAAATCTTTATTTAATATTTTATGAAAATAATCCGTTAGTGTATATGCTTTAACGAAATATGTTAAATAGTCTTTTTCGTCTATAGCCTTACGAAAATAATCTTCGATAACTTTAATTTGTTCTTCAGTAATTCGATCTTGAGGATTATCGGTAGAAGGAATTTCCTTTAAATATTCATTTAAATAATAGTGTATGACTTCCGCTAATAATTTCGATACTATCGGATGATGATTATCATACGACCTATATAAATGAATAATTTCTCGAAATTCTCGTCGTTTTTCAATTAAATCATGACCGGTTATTGACCATTGAATATGGTCATAATCTTTTTCACAATAAAATATTCGTTTATTAATAAATAATTGTTTGATATCATCTGTATATGCTTCTTCATATGGTGTTAAATTATGTCGGAAATTTCTAACTGAAGGCAACGCACCATAATCTAATAAAACTTGTACTAATTGTTTATGGCCATAATAACATGCAACATGTAAACTTGTTGAACCAGTGGGATGTTTAATTGTATTCAAAATATTGATATCATCAATTGTTGTTAATAAATTTTGAATTTCTTCAATCCGATTTTCTCTACATAAATCATAGATTATATCAGCAGGCGATTCGTTATTACTTGGTTGTTCTGGTAACGGTGATGTCATTTAAAATTATTTTAAATTAGCAATAATTTAATGACTGTACTATAAAACAGAATTCAAATACTGTGATTTTATTCACGTATCATG